AACCCAAGCTTTTCTCCAAAACCTTCAGAGCCAGGTTTGTTTCAGAATTTTCCCCTCCCTTCTTCCCTTTTTGTTTTTCTTTTACAGTGCTGGGGATCAAACCCAGGTCCTTGCAAAATGCTATACCACTGAGCTCAGGGCTCTACCACTGAGATATACCCCAGGCCTGTAACTTTTAAGTTCAGAAAGGTACAATATATGTGTAATGTCCCTAGCAGAATATGGAGCATATGTTAATACAGTGGTTCTGCAATGGTCTTTATACACTACTTACTAAACCGGGCAAATAAAAACCATAAAAAGAAAAAAAACAAAAACAAAAACCATAAAAAGACTCACTGCTTCAAGCCAAATTTACTACCGAGTAAGTTCAGGTCAGTTTGCTACAAATGTATACCAAAAAGAAGAAAAAGAAAATCCTTTGGTTCTCAGAGTAGTTTGAATTTGGGAACTTAAAGGACTGGGGGCTTGTAATCTGTCTCCTGCAAATCAGAAGCTCTAAAGTTTTTTTGTTTTGTTCTGTTTTGTTTGAGACAGGGTCTTGCTATGCAGTGCAGGCTGGCCTTGAACTCACAGCGATCCTCTTACCTCAGCCTCCCTAGTGGTGGGCCAACAAGCATAGGCCACCATGCTTGGCCTCTCTAAGTCTTTTATAACTTTCTTTTAAATAGACTTCAAACCTATAAAAAGTATGGCACACAGTATTACAAACCCCCATTAAATGATCAATCAGCTTTAATAATTATCAACAGTTTATAACTAATTTTTTTTTTTTAAATAAGCAACTGAAGTTACTGGGCAAATACCGTTTAGATACCTATGGTTTTTTTTGTTTGTTTGTTTTGTTTATTTTTTTTTCCAGTACTGGGAATCGAACTCACGACCTTGCGCTTGCCAGGCAAGCGCTGTGCCGCTGAGCTAAATCCCCAGCCCCGCCAATACCGTTTAGTAGAATTACTTCAAAACAGTGTTCTGGGAGGAAAACATTTAACATATTAACATTTTTCTGTTTTTGAGGGAAGAGATAGTGTCTTCGATGCCTGAGTCATGGCCCCCTTGTAATTATTCTTTGCACATCCGAGGGGTACAGGGTACTACAAGGGGCATCTCCTCAAGCAATGTAGAATGAATGAGTGCAGTGACGGTCAGGGATATAGCTCAGCGGCACAGCATCTGCCTGGCAAGCACAAGTTCCTGAGTTCGATTCCCGATGCCAGAAACAAAAACAAAAACAGAATGAATGAGTGCCCCACTCAGAGAAGCGACCCTGAAGTTCGCCGCTTTGTCGACGTCCGCCCAGGAGTCAACCCGCGACTGGTCAATGCAGTTACTTTATCCGGGGCTCAAGATGAAACCCCGCCCGCTCTCTTTTCCCGCCCATCCCACCCCACACTAAAGGTCAGTGGGGCGGGCACTCACATCTTGCATGGCTCGAGTGCGGTGGTCCGAATTGATCTGGTCCCGGAGCTAAAGAAAGGCAAACAATGACACAGACTGTTAAAGAGTGCTGCAGCTAAAAAGGCCTCTCGGGGCGGTGCTTCCCCGCCGCAGTGTTAGCGGCTGAAGCAGAGATCCTCTGGGGTGCTGCGCCCCGGGAGGACCTTACCAAAGCCGGAGCCGCAAAGAAGCTCCGCACAGACGCGAGCGGCGCGGGGTGCGGGGCAGGGAGCGTCTGAGGCCAAAGGCTCCCAGCGGTTAACCACGGGCCGGGCGCCCAGCCTATGTCGTAGCGCCTGCTCACGCCCCACTCACCGTGGACTTCTTAGTGAGCATCTCTTTGGCCATTACGTCCATGAGCCGTTCCTTCTCCTCATGGTACCGCCGCTGCTGCTCTAGAATTGTCTCCATAGTCCCTTCACGGCGGCACAATTCAGGCCACGGACGCGGCCGGAAGCAGTTCCTACCGCCTTGCGTGCCTGCGTCCCCTCGCTGCTCATCCGGCTGCATCAAAGTTCCGCGAGTACCGGAAGTGCTTCGGGGACTCCCGGAAAAATGAGCAACACAAGAAGAGCCGGCCGGTGCTACTGAGATGGCAACAGCGCTCCCTGCTGGTCGGGGGTGTCGCGGCGTGATGCCCAGTGGCTCTCAGATAGATGCCTCTAGGAAGCACACAAAAATCTAGGGACCTGAAAGACTAGAGACCACTGGCTCCCTGAGATATCCTGAGGAAAGCTGGGCAGTCAGGGACGCTGTGTGGACCGCGCGATCAAGGACATGTGTGGAATGAGTAGTTAACATATATGAGTTGGGAAACCAAAACTGTAGCCTGTAGTTTTTTCTTTTTTTTGCACCAGGAATCGAACTCAGGACATCGTGCTTGCCAGGCAGGCGCTTGTGCCGCTGAGCTACATCCCCGGCCTGTAGTCTGTAGTTTTCAGCGTGATAACATTTTTCCCTTCTCAGGAGCTTATTGTCTTTTGCAGTAAAATGGGGGTGAAGGTGTTTTTTGTTGTAATGAAATCCACACATGGAAACAATCTTATTATTCATTAGCGAAGGACTCATCAAATAAAATATGATGCAAGCAAAATGCTCTATAGCAGTCTTTAAAAAAAAACAAAAAACCCAAAGTATTAATGTCTACTTCTAGGTGGAGAAACGATGAAACCAGGTCGATTTGTTCAGATGCAACCCAAGAGTCCATTAATAGCAAATGGATAAACATAATGATATATGTATGCAATAAAGGAAAGCTACAAAGACGAACCATTAAAGGAGCATGCGGCACAAAGAGGGTAGATGCATATATGCCACAGGGCATGTCCCGGTGAAGTGTCCAGGAGGAAAATCTATGGAGACACTGGGTAGATGAGTGGTTGCTTATGACTGGAGATGAGACTGGAAGTGACCACAGATGGGCACAGGGAAATCTTTTTGGAGTGACAAGAATGTTCTAAAATTGGATTTTAGTGATATGGATATGCAGCTTTGTTAAATTTTCTAAAATTAATTGAATTGTACACTTAAAATGGATGAAGCTTATGGTATGTAAATTATACCTCAATAAAGCTGTTAAAAATCTTTATGCACTCATGGAAAGATGACCACAGAAAATGAAAAAAGTTAGATGCACAACAGTGTAAAAATAGATGTGTTGAGATTATTTCTGTAAGGATATCCAATTCACAGTAAATGGTAGCTGTTTCTGAGGAGATAGCCTTGAGGGTCTGGCATGGAGTTTTTTCTTTGTACACACCCAAATTACAGCATGAAGTTTTATTTTCCTTTTTTTTTACATACACTTGTTATTTTTTCAACTTTAAATTGGAAGGTCTGGGGATATAGCTCAGTGGTAGAGCACTTACATAGTATGTGTGAGGCCCTTGTTTAGTATGTGTGAGGATTTAGTCCCTAGCACCAGAAATAAATAAGTAGAGTTTGAGATGTTTAATCTGGAAAATGTTTATATCGAATTAAAGGAAACAGTATTGAAGCTGCACGTGTCTTTCCCTTACGTGGGTAGTTAGATCACCTGAGTAACATCGTTTTGTCTCTCAGCTTCCGATCTGAAGCCATCCTTGCCCTAGACGCATCTCCATCCGCCCTCCCTCAAACTAGACACCAAATCTTTTCTCCTCCAGCTGCTGCTATCTGCCTCATGATCCCTCGCCTGGATTACTGCCCCACCTCCACCTGGCTGCTCAGCTTCCCCATCAACCCTCCATTATCCATGCGCAGACACAGTGATCTTTCTAACACCCAGACCCTCTCATGCTCCTGCTTAGAAGCTCCTTTGGCTGCTTCACCCGCAGGGTGAGGTCTGTTTAACTTGGCGACTCGGGCTGGCCTGCCCTGCCATTTGACTTTCTTGGCACTTCCTCCAAATGCAATTACTTGCTGCTTCCCCGAAGCACCATATGCTTCCAGGCCTGCAGGCTTTGCACCAGCTGTTTTCTACGCGTGGATTGCTCTTCCTCACCAAGTATTTACTGAACATGTAGTAAGTGCCGGGGGCTGAGAAGGAGGGAGCAAGGCAGGCACGTGGGCCGTCCTCAGGCCGGTGGAACAAAAATGCAAACATATAATTATTACGAACACATATGTTGGGTGTTCACAAACGTTTGCTGGGAATGCCAGTCACCACCTCCCAAAGTTGACTCAAAAGGCGCCCAGGAGGCAGTGTCAAACAGATCAGAAACCCGGGATCTACCCGTGACTACCTATGTAACTCTGGGCCCTGACTATGCGAGTCTCCACCTCTGTGAGATGGAGGTAGTAACGCGTACCCCAGGATGGGGGTGGGGGAGACAGCGATTTCTGAAAATACAAAGAATCTCGCGGTTTCCTGCAGGCCCCTCCCACAGGGGCCTGGGTCACAGACGGCAGGAGTGGAGGCCGGGTGATCTGGGACACACGTACCTGCCCGCCACAGCCGGCCCGCTGGGTCAGCCAGCAGCCTGCGGGAAAGGAGCAGGCGCAGTCAGACGCAGGGCCGGGGAGCAGCGCCCCGCCCCATCTCCCCACTTCGGGGGACAGCCCCCCTGGCTCGTTCCCGCCCCCGCTCTTGAATCACGGGGGGGCGGGGCCGTGACCCATTCATGCTGGGAATCGGATCCAGATGTTCCCGCGGCGCGTGCAGCTGCATCCTTGCCTTTTTTGGCAAAAAAACGTGTGGCCGCGAGCGAATCCCGGGCCGCCCCCGCGGATCCTTGGGAAGAGGGGGAAGGGGGCTGAGGGTCTGGGCCTGACTGGGGAGCAGGCCCGAGTGTTCCCACTGATTTGGGCTGCGCTGTTAGGAGAGGGGGCGATGTGTACCAGACAAAGGAAGAACCCACTGCCACCGGTTGGCGTCTGGGACCTCCCCAGGTCCCTCCCTTCTCCCCTGGAGGAAAAGCCCTCAGCTCCGAAGGGGAAGGCAGGCCAGGCTGAAGAGGGACAGCGGCTGGCTGGGCAGGGATCCCCTTCCTGGAGACTTCCCACCCAGGTCCCACCCGCCCCACCCCCTCCTCAGGACTGGGCGAGCCCTCACCCTACCCACCCCCCAAACACACGGAGGCCTGTGCTTCCTCCTACTGCTTTATTGCAGAATCTGGAAGGGGGGAGTGAGCTAATCTCCCCTTTGCTCATGTCTGAGCAAAATGGAGCTGAAATACAATGAAAAGATGCCTGATGGGCACGGACTGGGTACCATCCTGCACCTTAGGACCCTCCAGCCAGTGAGACCCCAATCTACTGCCCAATCAGCCCCAGCCCTGGGGTTAGGGGTGGGGCCAAGCCTGAGTACCACAGAACTTCTCAGGCACCCACAGGAGACTTAAAATAATCTATGCAGAGAGATCTAGATTTAAGGGGGCCTAAGTCCCTCAGCAAGTTTGGAGGCCTGGGGTCTAGGTCCGGACTGGAAAAGAAGGCTTGGTATGGGAATCCACACTGCAGGGATGAGGGCTGGGTTTTACAGTCCAGACTTGGAGAGGGGGCCTGAATTATGGGTACTTCTTAAAAGCCCAGGTTTGGGGGCTTGGGAGAGGGAGTACCAGTTGGGATATGCTGGAGTAAGGAGACTGAATCCTGGAGCCGAGGGGGAGCCCCATTCCGGGGACGGGCTGGGTTACAGAGGTGCTTCAGAAAAGGAGGCACAGTCCTGGAGTCCTGGTTTGAGAAAGCCCAGGCCTGGAGCTCTGGCTCAGGGCGCTGCCTGGCTGCAACTCTGGCACAGCACTTGGTCTCCATCAGGCACAAAGCCTTGGCCCACCAGGGAGGTGGAGCAGCGCGCACAGGAGAAGCAGCTGTGGTGCCAGTGCCGGTCTTCAAAGGACACATACTTGCCTCCGCCGAGTCCTAGAGGGAGGCTGGAGGTTAGCTCTGTAGGGGCAGATCTAGGGGCACCCTTGCCCCTTACCCGATACCATATCCATGCCCTGGCCTGCAGTCTACCTACCTGTCCCACCTGTGATGGGGCGCTTACAGCTGCTGCACCTAGGTGCAAAGAGTTCTCCAAAACAGGCCACACAGTAGGGATCGTCATCCCGAGAGGTGAATTGCTGCCCTGCCAGGGGTGTCTCGCACCCAGTGCAGACCAAGCATTCTCGATGCCAGGGCTGATCACGATATGTCACTCCACCCTGCGTCAGCGTCTGTAGGGGCAGAACCCATCAGCAGAATTCCCACCCCACAACAGGCCTTACCCCCTACCCTGCTGACCTGGCCCCACCTTGCTGCAGCGGGCACATCGAGGAGCGAACTTGTTCTCATAGCAGGGCACGCAGTAGTGAGCACCTTTGTCAGGCACAAAGGAACGGGAACCCAGTGGCTGCTCACAGCCGCTGCACAGGAAGCACTGCTCATGCCATGTCTGGCCTCCATATTCTAGCTTCCGGGACCCTGTGGGGAACAGGAGACCCACTCAGAAGCTGTGTCCCAAGCGCCTAAAGGCCACTCTGCTACTCACCCCAGGATTGTCTCCAATGCTCCCACAGACTGAGCAGGATGGTGTCCATGCACATGCAGCAAGACCCCCACCACGTACACTGCACATGCTGACCTCTCCCCAAACACTGGACATGACGGCTTGGCATGTGCTAGGACCCCAAAACTAGACAAAAGGTCCTGGCATGTGTTGTCTCCTTATGTCTCAGATAGGACTATCTTAACACATGTCAAGTCTCCAAGTAATAGGTGTGTTGTCTCAGTACCTGCTAAGCCTTACACATCAGAAATGATAGTTTAACATATACGCATGGTCCCACGTATGTCAGACAAGCAAATCTCTGCCTATATGAAGTTCTAATGCCCTAGATGTGATAGTTGTTCAGTGCACGGTAAGCTCTTGCATGTTCTAGGTGTGACATTGTCCACACATGCTAAGTTCTCATGTCTATTAGGTATGCAGGTCCTCACAAACTTTAATCCCTGTTTGAGCTCTGTACATCAAGCACATCAATCTCAGCATACCCTCAGCTCCTACAGGTACTTAGCCTGCAGGACATTACACATGCTAAGCTCCCAAGTATGTATAAAACATGTCAGCCCATACATGGTAAGTTTCCTGTTTGAGCTCTGTACATCAAGCACATCAATCTCAGTATACCCTCAGCTCCTACAGGTACTTAGCCTGCAGGACATTACACATGCTAAGCTCCCAAGTATGTATAAAGCATGTCAGCCCATACATGGTAAGTTCCCAAGTATATACTGTAAAGTCCAGTACATGCTAAGCTCTTAGAAATGTACCGAGCTTGTCAGTTTCTGCACTTGCCAAGCTTTCATTTGTAGATCTGAGCATGTTAATCCCTATGTACACTCACTAAGCTCCCAAGAGCAGCCAGACACAACAGATCCTGCACACATTAAATTTCCAAGAACATGCCATACATGCAGGTCTCTATACACATCAAGCTTGTATGTATGTCTCAGGCACGTACAAAAACCCTACACAGATACTGGGAATGCCAGTCTCCATAGGCTGAATCCCCTGGGACATACCAGGCATGACCGTTTCCCCACAGGCAGAGCACTGTGAAGAGAAGGCACTGCAGTAGCAGTCATTGCAGAGCAGCTCACTGTCCTGGCAGGTGAAGGGTTCATCAGCTAGGGAGCGCTGGCAGCGGCAGCAGCGGAAGCAGCCCTCATGGAAGTGGCGATCCTCATAGAAGAGCTCCTACAGGTAGCAGAGAGGGGCACTGACACCCAGCCCTTTGCTCCCTCCCACCAGCCTCCACCTACTCCCAGCCCTGCTTGGACTGGTCCTTACCCGCGAGTCATGCCCAATAAGCTGCTGGCACTCAGCACAGGTGTTAGCGAAGGTGTTGTCGTAGCAGGGCACACAGTAGGGGCCACTGTCTGTCTGGATATACTTCCGGCCATACAGGGACTCACTGCATTTTGCACAGTCAAATGGCTCACCCATGGTGGCGATGAGAATGAGCCCTGTTTAGGAATATAAGGTGAGGTTGGGGTCACCCAGAAGAGGCCCAGCCTAGACCTTGCCAAGAGATCTTTATATTCAAAACAGATCAAGAGACCAGGCATAGGAAATATCTAGAGCAGGTGGGGATGGAGAAGGGCAACCAGGAATCTTGCATATTTAACTTCTGTATCTGACTGCAGGGGTAGGAAGGGGGTCAGGAAGAAAAATCAGGAAGCAGAAGTTGTTTTCTTATCTAGAGCCTAGCAGACCTGGAGGGAAGGGGCTTTTCCTGGGTCAGTGACTCACTTCCTGCCCCAACCTCCTACTTCCTGCTCCTGTGTCTTTAATGCCTCCAGGGTAGGCCCGAGAGCCGGGGAGCCACTCATTCCACCTTAAATAGCCAGCACCCTCACCTTCAGACTTCTAGGAAGGGATCCTAGGAGTAGAGATAAAGGATTCTGGGCTGCAACTAGGGAGTTTAGAGGGGAGAATGGGCTGTTCTGACCCCCTCCTGATCCAGAAACAGTGGAATGCTAGACAGATACTGCTAGATGGATACTGCTAGGACGATGACTGGTGGAGGCCGGGTGTGAGACGTTGGCTTCCCCTCCCAGGAGAATCAGCCAAGCAACAAAAACTTGGGGCTCGGCCTAGGTTTAAGCGGAAGGAAATCCTGCAAGCTGGATACAGTCAAGCTTCCCCCAGCTGGACCCTCTGCCCTCATTCCTCTTCACCCCTGTTGTTGTCTCTGGTCACACCATCCTGGACAGCCTTGGCTGCAACATCTGCAGCAGCTGTGGCAGCACAGAAGGCCAGATGTCAGGTTCTGCCAGCAACAGGGAGAAAAAAGGAAAATGTGATGCCTCTGGAGACAGAGAACTGGAGACAGACTGAGAGCAGTGAGTCCCCCTGCCCCTCCTGCCAGGCATCCCTAACCCCCTACAGTGTCTGCAGAGACCCAGAATCTTTGCCCACACAGCCCACCATGAGTCCCATTCCCTGCCCCTAGAGAAGTAGCCTCTTCCCTTTTACCGATATTTCAGAGCTTGAGGTTGTGGGGACGTGAAGGGCAAGGAAGTAGGAGCCACAGGGGATCTGTTCTCCATGGTCCGGCCCCCTCTTGGGTGGGGAGTAAGACATGGGGAGCCCTGTGAGCTGTTGGGGCAGACACCCAGCCTCCCCTCCAAACCTCAGACACTTTCCATTTTCTCAGGAACAAAGCATGTTTGCGGGATGAGGTCATCCACACAGCTGCCTCTGGAAAGGGAGCATGGGGAGTGGGGGGAGGGTTGGGGGGAAGTGGGGTTCCCAGTCCTTTCTGCTGCTCAATTGTCTCCAGTCCCCAAAGTCAGAGCTCCCCAGCCCTGGCCTCCTCCACCATGAAGGCTGCTCTCTCTGGGCTGGGATCACAAGGTAGTGGAGAGGAACCACCAGGACCCAGAGGAAGGGGATGTGCTCACAGCTACACATGAGCCTGGCGAAGTTAAAGGGACACACAGAAGAACCCACTGATCTCCTTCCTCTCCCCAGCAGACTCCACGCACTGGCAGTCTCTAGAGCCTGCCCTGGCTCAAGCTGAAGGAAAAGCCCTCCTCTTTTTAGCCACCTCCCAGCGGGAGATTCTCACCAGCAGAGTAGCTCTGACTTAATTAAGTTCAGACTTCAGGCCAACCCCGGAAGGTCTGACTTCTGGGGCTTGAGTTCAAAACTTCCCTTCCATACAATGGAAGAATACCCAGTTCACATCCCAGGCAGGGTATAAGGCCAACAGAGCTGGGGTCGTTTAGAGTGGGGACTCTTAGGATAGGGGCTATGCTGTAGGGTAGAGGTACCCCTCCTTCTCAATCCCCTCCCTGCCGCTCGTGTCCAGGTTTGCTCTGGCCCAGCATCTAAGGACTGCCTGGGCTGTCAGCCACTGAGCAGCAAGGGGCCATGCAGGTGGAGAGAGGACATGTGTCCATCTGGGAGTGCCCTGGGTCCTTTCCATTCCTGGCCTGGCTAGGTACAGCAGCTACCTCTCCAGGCCCAGGCTAGTCCTGGGCCTGCCCCTTGGAAGCCACTCACCACTGTGAAACAGGCACCCCAAATAGGGCATGGGTGTGGCTTGTTTCCTTCCCAGCATCCCCCTATCCAGCTGGGCTCTAGCGAGGACAGAGTGAAGGGCACCATCAAGGCCCACCTGTTTGTGCCCATCCCTCTCTCCTCCTCTCCCTCCCCCTTTCCCTGGCAAGGCTCGGAACGGAGGGATGAGTGGGGAGCCAGCCTTGTAATATCTGTTCCTGAGTGGTGGGGGGCAGGGTTTGGGGAGATTGCTGGATCTGTCTCGTTGCTGTCAGCCCCTTCCTCCAACATACACATCCCTGCACTTGACCTTGACACATAAACACACGCACACACGCACACATATGCACATACAAATGCACACCTCAGTGAGCTGCCTGGAACTCAGAATTATGTGCCTTGTATAGAGGTTCAAGCTATAAAATATAAACTAGGTTTGGATTCTATGACTTTGGGGAAGTGACTTAAGTGTAAGTGTCCTGAGCCAGTGTGGCCGTGTAATTGAGGTAATTCCACTTCTACCTAGGCTTGTTTCAGGCTTAAATGGATGATTCCCGGAAAGCACCTGAAGACAATAAGTGCTCAGTATTGGAAGCTATTTGTATTTTTACCATGAGTCCCTCACTCATATGGAAGTCAGACTGTAGGTTTCAGGCAGGCCTGAGGCAGGGAGCTGGCCTGGGACGTGATCTGAAAAATCGGGTGGGCACAGAGAGACGACAGGAGATCCCAGGCCCATAGACTTGCTGAGGTAAATACTGGGACCAACAATGGTTCTAACAGTTAGCCTGACTCCAGTGAACATAAGTTCGAGATTGCTCATACAGGTACACAAGTATACACACCTGTCTGCTGCTCTAACTCTCATAAAGTACATGCCCACCACTGTATCATCAGATCTCACAAAGGCAGGCAGGACAGAGTGTCGCCTCCACTTTACAGTAGAGCCTAAGGAGGCCAGGAACAGGCAGGGGCACGCCCAAAGTTCCTCAGGTATCATAGCCGGGTCTCTGGCCTCCAGGCCTGAAGCCTTTTCCTGCTGCCCTCTCCCTAGAAATGCTTCTGTGATGGTAGAGGAGAGGATGGTTAGCTTTTAAGGGCGGGGAAGGGATAGGAGACACACCAGAGCCTGGCTCTCCTTCCTAGCTGCCAGCTCTGTGATTGGAAGACACCCAGAAGCCTTTCCAAGTACCCATGCCAACTGCCCCCCCCTCCAGGAGGACCCTAGCCAGGCCTCACAGCTGTGAGTCAGGATCAGAACAGACCCCTCCCCCAACTCCCAGGAGTTGACAGGGGACTTGAGCAGAGAAATCAAAGTGCCCCCACCCTATTCCTGCTACTGGGCACCAACCCAACCCCAAACTCTGCTCTCCTCCCTCCCCCAAGGGGCCTAGAAGTCAAAGGAGTTTAGGGGAAAGGGGGTGGGGAGCAGGATCCAGCAGCTGCTCTGGGGACAGGAGAGGAAAGGTTCATTCACCCGGGGTCCCCCAGGGCTGAAGCAGCCGTCCAAGACTTGAGTTTAAAAATAAGCCGAGGCTGTGTTGGGGCAGTGTGTGCACGGGGTTCCTTCTCGATCTCAGTCTCGGTCTGGAGTTCTCTGCCTCTTGGGGGACTGTTTGGCCGAGAGTCTGCTTCCCCCTGACTTTGCTTCCCAATCTGCGTCTGGGTCTCTCAAGGTCTACCTCGGAGCTGTCAGCGCACCCAGGTCTCTCGGTCTACATTAACTCTCAGTCTGTGCCCAGCTCACCGGCTCAACACCCCTCTGTCTGGCACACTCTGCTGCGATCTTCATGTTTGGGGGTGTCTCCTAGTGGGGCGACCTCCGCTCTGTGGATTTCTATTTCTGCACACCCAGGCCTTGAACTCTCAGTGTGCCTAGGGGGCTGAATGTGTTGGTCCTTCCATCCCTCTGTCTCAGCGTCCAGCCTTTTCCCGAAGCACCTCTATCTCCAGTCTCTGAATGTCTGCAGGCAGGCCCGGGGGATTTAGCATGAGGCTAAGGAAGCTTCAGCCGCAGGGCCCTCAGCTGGGCCCTGGCATTTCGGTCACTGGGGTCACACGTATGCTTTTTCTTAAAATGCTCCACAAAACCCAGATCCGTCCCATGTCTCCAGTCCCCGGCTCGGAAACTCTGTATGTCCAGCCTCTATCCTCTTTTCAACGGTCTCTGTGGTCTCCTGTCGCTCGTGTCCCTGTCTGCCTCAGGGCATTTTAGAAGCCTCAGTTTCCCCAACCCTCCAAGTCTCTCTGGCTTTCCT